TATATTCTGGCGCTTATTTGTTTATTTATTTCTTTATTTGTTTGGGTTAATTTATTTTACTTGCTCTTCATTTTCATTTTGCATTATTTATTCTTTTCGTTTTTTTGATGTTTTATTAACGCAGGGAAAAAATCCAGCATTCGCGACCTGACGATTGCGTCCAGCATGAAACAGCCTGTCGCCTCTGAGTTATGACTTCAATGTGCATTTTTAAATTTATATTTACATACGCTCTATAACTGATATTGTGCAATTTATCCCATAAATATAGCACACCATAAAAACGACATTTCTTTATATATATATATATATATATATATATATATATATATATATATATAATATATCTAAGTTTCATAGAATTTCCAACTCATCAGGCACGAACTATTACTGTAATTGTTATAATAGTAATAGTAAACCCACGCAACTTTAAGTTGTAATACGAACGTATATATATATATATATATATATATATATATATATATATATATATATATTTATATATATATATACTTCTTTAACTCTGTCTAACCCCATTTATCACTGTTTTGTTAACACCTTATATTATATTAAGTATATATTTATTCGCTTATCTGTGCATGTATCTAAGTTGTATATCCACATTTATATCTATTTATTGTATAGTTGGCCACTCGTACTTCGTCTACTAGGGCGGCTATTTAATCTCTATTGCAAGCGCTTTTCTACGCGTTCAACACTCACAGAGCTTACCTATTATCTATACTGCAACTATTCAGAGAAGAACACACAGTTTTTGCGAGATAAGACTGTTTGCTATTGTGATCAAGAATCTGAACAATGCCAGCACGCTGAAACCATTCGATAACATCAGGTAGTCTTCTTTTGACATCCCCAAACCCGGGTCTCATGAAAGCGATCGTTATATAAATAAATAGGTACAACAGCTCGGAATGAGAGATCGGAAAGGTGAGTTCGAATTCCAGTCGAGTATTTTACATTGACTTATGCGCAAATATTCTTGGGGAAGTTTGCAGTCTATCTCGTCCTCCTAACCGATGGCTAAACAGAAGGACATGTTGGAACCTATAACTCTAGTTGCTAAAGGAAGGAAAACACTGAAATGAAACCAACCTGAAGTGCGTTAGCTAATGAGCTTCTTATAAGAATGAACAGACAAGAAACAGTTAGGAAATGGAAAAGAAAAGCCTGCAATTATATCATTATCTGATATGCAGCAAAACGTGCAGCAGGACAGGTTATAGTACTATGATGGAAAGGCTGTTCAAACACGACACAG